CAGTTTTCTTTTTTAGAGAAACTGAAATTTCCTATAAAAATGAAAATTTAATTTGGCACGGGAATGAGTTCCCATTCGTATGTCAAGGGAGATGTTTTATCGGGCTACGTACGACTGCGTGTATTGCAGTAACCGCCACTGGCCCTGAAATAGTTCACTTAAAAAAAAAATGCGAATTAGCACCAGGCGTATTGCTGCCACATTGTTTAGCGCGTATCTCTGAAGGGGAAACATTTATCAATTGCGTCAATATAAAGTCATCGATCTGCCCATGCCGACCATGGAGTTAGTGGAGGTGGAAAGTATGATGGATGTCATAGAGTAACACGAATCCAAATCTAAATCTATTCATTCTATTGCACAAAATTCCAAATCGAATCCTCCTAATTCACGATACCAAGAACTCCGCGACATAATAAGTACGGATCACTTGAGTGAAGAAGAAACGGCGCACGTTGATAATATCATCTAGGAATTTCAAGATATCTTTCACTTCCCAGGGGAGCGTCTAGGAAAAATCAACGTGGTAAAACATAAAATTGTAATGACCGATGAAATGCCGGTCCACGTAAAACAGTACAGATACCTTCCGATCCACAAGGAAGAGATTAATAAGCAAATGAAGGAGTTGCTAGAACAGAATATAGTAGCTCCTTCTAAATCCCCTTTCAACAGCCCCTTGTGGATCGTTCCCAAAAACCCAGACACCAACGGTAACAAGAGGTGGAGAATTGTAGGGTGCACAGCGAGTACACCCGATACTAAAACACCGCGATTACAAAATCTCTCGGGTTGTAAGGCTGATTATGCTAAGCGACGGAATTGATTAGTATCGTTGTTCGTCTAATTAAAGATGAACAGCTGTTTTAATTTTGAAGAATGAATTGAAGCACTATAAAACACTCAATTCGATGGTCGAAGGTTGAAAAATTATCTGAGTAGTAGACTAACATGAGCTGGAGTCTACTGTAGTTGACTGAAGTTGAGTTGACTGACTAACTGAATAGTAGACTAGCGTGAGCTGGAGCCTACTGAAGTTGAAGAGTTGAGTGTAGTAGACTAGTGTGAGCTGGAGTCTGCTGACGTTGACTGAAGCAGATTGACTGCGATTCAGAAATTGGTTGAAACGGATAGCGCGTACCTGATGAAACAGAGTCGCGGACTAGAGACCGAGCGAGAATGACTGAGTTTAACTGACACTGACTGACGAATGAATGACCAATGACTTATGACAAGACAATGACGAATGACAAAGAGAAGAATCGTTTCGTTGAAGGACTGTCAATTTGTCTTGCTGAGCCAAAGATTCCCCGTCAATAAAATGTTTTTTTTTAGGGATAAAAGAAAAAGGTAATTCGTCCCGGGGAAAGTTAGGCGGACGCAGCACGAAAATTCCGTTGAAGGACGGAACAAATTCTGACTCTAATTCAAGTCGCAATTCCAAGAAAATTTTTTTCTCAAAATCCATGTCGAGTTTCAATTCAATTCTTCTTAATTCGCGCTCTCTTACTTCGGGATGCCAAGAGATTGTGAGGACCACCCTTATCTTCCCAGAACACCGTTATCCACATACGGCTTCTCCATGACACCTGCAAGCGAGGATCACCTCTATCTTCCCAGAACGCCATTATCTACATCCGGCCCTTCCATGAAATTTGCACACGACCCAGCCAATTCAACAGTATAAAACCCTTCGAATCAAATAAGAGATGTTCAATTCTGTTTTGATCAAGCTCTAACTCTGTCATTTCGTTACCCATAATAATCGCTGACACACCGCTTCATCCACGATTCCCATAGCTCAACGACATACACGTATGTTCGTTGAATAAAACTTACTGTACCCGCTGTAACGCTGACACTTCCCGCCCACTCTCAGTCCCAACAAGAGATAAGACACAGGTATTGTAACGCTGACACTTCCCGCCCCACTCTCAGACCCAACAAGAGATAAGACACAGGTATAAATAGGCCATTAATTATGCGAGCGAGCAGTGACATTCTTATAATCGGCCCGGAACATCGATCACAGTGTAAAAGTTCCCACTCTAAATGTATCAATCTTATAAAACTGTTGTAAAATAAACATACGCTGAAAAGCCATAGCTTTCCAGCTCCTTTTAAAAAGCGAAGTCATTCAAATCCTGCGTAACACCCGCGACGGTTGAGTAATCTCTGTGACGCCTGGACCCGTCACAAGATCATGGACATAATAAGCACAGATTACATTGACGAGGAAGAGAGATCTCACGTCGAAGATTTAATTCAAGAGCACAGCGACGTCTTCCATCTCCCAGAGGAATGTTTCGGAAAGACCAGAGCCGTACAACATAATGGTTACGACCGATCAAATTCCCATACTCGTCAAACAGTATAGGTATCCACCGATCCACAGGGAGGAAATTAATAAACAAATGAAAGAATTATTGGATCAGGATATAGTAGCCCGTTCGAAATCTCCATATAACAGCCCCCTATGGATCGTGCCTAAGAAAGCCGACGCGGAAGGTAATAAAAGATGCGTATGGTAATAGATTTCTTCTGGGCACTTAATGAAAAGTCTATTCCGGACGCTTACCCTCTGCCAAGCATCTTAGAAATATTGGATCAGCTGGGAAGCACTAAATACTTCAGTGTATTTGACTTAAGCTAGCGGCTTCCACCATGTAACGTACGGAGAATTTTCCGACGTATTCCTTCCTGAAGCCAAGCTGGCGCCAGTCAGCCGGGGAATCATTTGTATATCGCGAGTCAAGTACCTTCATGGGGGTACGACGACGAGCGTTCTGGAATCGGACCATATAGGAACACTCCCGCTACCATTTCCCAAAGAAAATCTGGGTATATAAAGGGGCCAAAACACGACCGTAAGCGGGCTAGTTTCGAGTCAATCGTCGACGAAGAAACGCTAACGAGATCGAGTTTAATTCTCTTTCGAGCAAAACAATCGAGTAGTTAATAGATACCAGATTAAAAGCCCCCGCCGATTCAGTGCGATAAACTGAGATCGCGATAGAGTCCACAAAACACTTATTCACATACATTTGTAGTAAAACCAAAACTTATAATATACTAGCTTTTAACAATTTATTTTGGTTACAAAACTCAGTTATTTCCACTTCCTACATCGAAGCAATAGTTGGTACAAACCCGCGGAGATATATCTTTACTGTCCGAGGTATATCTTCAATTTTTTCTTGCAAAAAATTACGAGGCAGCCTAACTCCAATTTTCCCAAATCCTATACCGATCTCTAGGTAGCCACCCGTGTCGAAATAAGCATTGGCTGGTCTACGAATCTCCCATATAAAAATCCCAAATCGTATCCAACTTCCGGCCACGTAAAGCTGCCTGGTCCTCGGCTCATAACAACCAATCCGGAATGCGCCCGGCAGATGCGCCAAAAACGAATTCAAACGTATGCCTTTCAGCTTAAGAAATGCGCCAGCTATCTTTCAGCGACTAATGGATACCGTATTATCCGGTCTACAGGGCACAGAAGTATTTGTCTACGTAGACGATATTGTCAGCTTATCCCAACATAAATTCAAATTCAATAAGCTGGCGCAACGCTTACGCGAAGCTAATTTAAAATTACAACCATCTAAATGCGGATTCTCGTGTAACGCGAACCTGTTGCTCTCAAGATTACCTACGGACACCCAGGAATCCCCTACCTACGGATCATCGACCACTTCAATGGCTCTTCAATTGCAAGAATCCGTCCTCCAAGTTGGTTAGATGGCGTCTTAGATTAGAGGAATACAAATATAATATAAAATATAAACCAGGACATACTAATTCAAATGCAGATGGTCTTTCTAGATTAGTTACTGAAAATTCAATAAATGTAACAATCAATCAAGAGCAAAGTTTTCAAGATTTCATTAAATTTCACTATACCAATCAGAATAGTATATCTTTTGAAAAGGAGAACAAACCACTGATAAAAGTTAAAGATCCGATTGTTTTATTATGGTCTCAAGACTTAGACGAAACCAATCAATATTCAGAATTCATACGTTTTGGAGAGTGAAGTGCGAGTGTGTGCATGTTAATAAATAGATGAAGTACAACGCGGAGCAAATTAGATCGTGGACGTACAGTGAAAAGATCGTGCAGTGCAGTAAATTTACCATGTCTGGAATTGATTTCTTGGTTGATAAGGATGGGTTTTTCATATTAACAAAATTTGAGTGCAAAGAATTGGTAATTGTGAACGCTCATACCGGTGCATCTGAGCTTTTTGAATTTGAGTTACGCGTCCGCTACATCGAGTGTTTGCAGTGGTGTAGAAACCGCATGAACATCGAGAAAATGAACGAGTCGCATTACGGAACTCTTGAACGATCATTCGTCGTTGAAAGTGAACGTGGTATTGGAGGCAGAATTCGTGTTGCGCGACGAGGTTTCGGTGAAAAGTTTTAACACGTGAAACGTCGCGCTCTTCCGATCGTCCAATCTACGTTACGGGTACACGAATGCCTACGCTTCTGGCCTCGATCCAGGAGTTTCAAGAACGGGTGTCACGTCCCGCGACTGAAGCATTATTGTAAAATCGCGTCCCACGACAAAGCGTTATTGTAAAGACGGGTCGAGCGCCGGGCGCTCGAAAAATTTTGAGTTATGGTGTCAAATTACATCGCAATTTGACACCACTTGAGCGCTCGGCCCTTCAATTTAAAGAATTCGAAAATGATCACCAAACAAAAAATCTAAAACGTAACACCTCCCGAATACACCATATCGCTTTTAAAGATAGAACTATAAACTCACCACGAACGAGAATCACAGCTCGCCGAAAAAACAGTCGTAGAAACAGAAAACGAAAAACTAATAGCAAAAAGGTAATGAACGAACTGTGATTACACTCGCGACTGGTCTTAGCTAATACTATCGTACCGCACTGTCTAACACCTAAGACTCAACTGACGCGATGGGCCGAACAATCGTAGCCATCCCCGCCAGCGAGTGTCCCCACTCAGTCGTTGTGGCGATGTCAATACTCTGATGGGAAGCGCAAGGCAGAAGTTGGCACACGGACCGTACGTGACTGCGATAAGGACCGGCGCACCAGCGGATGCAGATAGGAAAGGTATGCGGCGAGACAGGCCGCGAAGACTCGGTCCCATGCAAAGTACGTGACTGCGATAAGGACCGGCGCGCCAGCGGATGCAGATAGGAAAGGTATGCGGCGAGACAAGCCGCGAAGACTCGGTCCCATGCAAAGTACGTGACTGCGATAAGGACCGGCACGCCAGCGGATGCAGGCAGCGAGAAGAGGCACGTAGACTCGGTCTCGCCGAGACGTACGTGACTGCGATAACAGTCGGCACACCTGCAAAATGCAGATGGGAATGGAATGCAGCGGGACAGCCCGCGAAGGCACAGTCACACGGGAACCCCCACCTGTCTGACCACTGGCTGCGGCCTATAAAAACACAGGCGAGGTCCGCAGAAGGCAGTCTTCCGAACAACAGTCTTCCGAACAACAGTCTTCCGAACAACAGTCTTCCGAACAACAGTCTTGCGAACAGAGTTCTATCTAACAGTCTACGAGTACATAAAAAGTCAAAGTGATCAAGTGATCAGCATCATCTAAGTAAATTAACGACGAATATACGCTAAGGTACTTATAAAATTTGTAAAACTCAGTGCATGGTTCTTTGTTCTAACGACGAGTTTGTACTTTTAATAAGTTTAAATTTAGTCCATTAGATAAAAATAGTTCAACCCATATTCAAACGTTTCAATTTCACTATTCTACTCAGTATTAACCAAGTGTGATTCTTCTTATTATTATTTACCTCTCTGGACTGGCACTTATTCTGCGTCCAATCGACGCTTATACTCCCAACCTAGCTGCGTCCAATCGACGCTTATACTTCCAACCTAGCTGCGTCCAAGTGACGCTTATACGTGCCGAACAAGCTGCGTCCAAAGACGCTTATAATAATACTGAGAAAATAATAATAATAATAAGAATCATATATATATATATATATATATATAAATATATATATATAAGTAATCAAAATGAAAATTAATCTTTAGATGAATGATACCAAGAATAATAAACGTTCGAATAATAAACGTCGAGGGGGACGTAAGACAAAAATCATCCGAAAAATCCGCGCACTCCAACGGGAGGCTACAGTAAAATTTGAGCAGAGGCTCCGCGATATTGGGAGGGAGCTGGCCGAGGAGGCACTGAGGCCAGATCCGTTCCCGGATTCTCCTCCGTCCGTGGAAGTTTACGACCCGGTAACGGAGAAAGACCGTTATCACGACGACGAGTTGGAGCGCCTCTTCCAAGAGGAAGATTTTCGTGACCCCGATTGGGACCCCCAATATTTTAACATCAATTTGTTAAACATTTAATTTTAATAAAATATCCACTAGTATCTTGAACGAGTGGTAAAACCATTTCATTTATTTCCCTTCAATTTCCCGAACTGCAACCGGTGTATGCAGGCAGGTTCGAAACTGCGAACAATCCTTTCAATCATTCATTCAATACTAACGATCGTAACACGGGATAGCGGATGGGCGTTGTCGAAGATCTTGCACTTGATGGTGAATTCCAACAAGTATCAACCGTTGCATGCAGGTTGCGGGATACCCGTGCCCCGAGCAGTGCAACTGAAGAGAGCCGTCGTCAACGTGAACAGTAACGACGACGCGTGTTTCTATTGGGCAGTGGTGGTAAGTCTGTATCCAGTTAAAGTCATTCGTATCGCGCATCATCCTATCCGCATTACAGCGATGTGCTCCGCGCCGAGGGATTCCAAATGCCGATGTCGTTCAAGGACATACCGAAGTTCGAAGAGGCGAACGACGTTTCCGTGAACGTGTTCGAATGGGATAGGAAACGAGAAAGCTGACGAACGTTGCATCTACCATCGAGGAAATGGGAGAAACATACGAATTTGTTGTTTCTACAGGACACGATAAATTTGCGGAATCATTACGTCAGTATAAGGAATTTATCCCGTCTTGTTTCATTCCAGCTCAGCACGCGGCATCATAAGTATATTTGCGATCGGTAAGTACTGTACTCGAATTTATTTTTGTTTCGAAGAAGAAAATTATAGCATGAACTTGTTTCAGGTGTCTGCAATATTTCAGATCGCAAGAAAAATTGGACATTCGCGTCGTCGACTGCGGTCGAATGAACGAATGCGCTTTGATACTTCCGACGGAAGACGATAAGTGGCTGAAGTTCAAGAACCACGCGTACAAGGAACCGGCGCCTTTCGTTATTTACGCAGACTTGGAATGCCTGCTGGAGAAACAGGAAGATCAAGGTCATGGAACTTGTCGCAGATATCAGCATCACCGTGCCTTCAGCGTAGGCTACTATCTTCATTGTCGATACGACAGCTCCGTGTGCGAGTATCGGACTTATCGCAACGAGAAAGATTGTATCGCGTGGTTCGCATCGGAGTTTTACAAGTTGAGCCGTAAATTGCAGCCGGCGTTCGATCGGACGGTTCCGATGGCTACAATGACTGCCGCGCAAATTTCGGAATTCCATACCGCCACGCATTGCTACGTGTGCGAAGAACCGTTCGGCGATCGCGACGTACGAGTGCGCGATCATTGTCATTTCACGGCCGCGCATCATGGTCCGGCACACAACAATTGCAATTAAGAGGACTCTTGTTTTTCTCATCTTGTTCTTATCGCGCTTCCATTTTTATGACGTTTAGAGAGGAACTATGCGTGTGCGCATGTTAATAAATAGATGAAGTATAACGCGAAGCAAATCAAATCGTTGTCGCGAAGTGAGAGTGAACCAGTGAAATATAAAAATTTTATAAATCACATCATGACAACAATTGATTTTATAGTTGATACAGACGGCTTCAACGTCAATAAAAAATTTATGTGTAAAGAATTGGCGATTATAAACGCACACACCGGCATCGCATCTCGCTACGAATTTGAACTAGGCGTCCGCTACACAGATTTGAGCAAAGCTGATCAAAAGTCTGCGTGGTATGTCACGAATTTTATACATGGGATATCCTATAAAAATTTTTCGGGGAAAATAAATCATCAGCAAAAAGACATCGCTCTTATAATTAAAATTTTTATTCGCGGCTACAAGGATCCCGTAATCGCATATAAGGGGGGGGGGGGCATATAGAAAAAGACATATTACGCGAAATTGGCGTTCGAAGCATAAATTTAGAAATTTTTGGTTGCCCCAAATTTGAAACTTTAATCGCGGATCCGAAATATGGGTCATATGACGTGCCACGTAGACTTCATTATTGGACGCCTAGTTCAACTTCCAAACTCAGAGACAATCCCACCCAATTTCTTCAGCTCAGTCTACGAACTTGTGTCCGTACTGAAAAAATTAAACAATAAACGATCATCTAGCTTCGACAATATTCCGAACATAGTTTTAAAACATTTACCTCCACTATATATCCACAATTACAGTATAATCTTCAATAATTGCCTAAACAGAGCATATTTCCCGACAGCCTGGAAAACTGCAAAATTAATAGCAATAAAGAAAAAAGGAAAAAATAGTAGCGACCCGTCTAGTTAGCGACCAATCAGTCTCCTGTCCAATATCAGCAAAATCTTCGAAGTGACAATAAATAAAGCAATAGATTCATTCTGCACATGCAATAACTTAATACCGGAAATACAATTCGGATTTAGATTCAAACACTCGACAATACACGCTATCACCAAATTCACCTCGGACATTTGCTGGGCAAGAAATGCCGGAGACTGCGTCGGTGCAGTACTTATAGACTTAGGAAAAGCCTTCGATACGGTTTGGCTGGATGGGCTTTTCTTCAAGCTAATGAAAAGGAATTTTCCAATACATTTTTTTTTATACAGTTTTATGTCACCGAAGGCGGTAACATCTCCACCAAAGTATTCAGTGTACAGAACGGTCTTCAACAAGGTACTATCAATTCCCCTATCCTGTTTAGCCTATATATCAGTGATCTGTTAAACATGTACGACCTGAATAACGACAACCAGAAAAGTGCCATTGCATACGCAGACGATCTCTTAGTATACATCACTGACAATAAACCATCCAGAATAAAAATACAGCTACAGGATTTATTTAACAAGATTCAAGATTATTTCTACACATGGAAACTAAAACTAAATATCAACAAATGCGAGACAATACTATTTAGACCATACATTTCAATGATTTCAGACACAAACAATGACGTACGAGCGCACAGTAAACATTTTCAATTACACGATGGCAGCGACAGTAACAATAAAATCCCACACAAACAGGTCGTTCGTTATTTAATCGTACACTTAGATTTTAAATTAAACTTCAACGATCATGTAAATATTCAGATAGACAAAGCACGAAAGGAATTTGCGGCGAATAAACGTATCTTCTACTCAAAAGATCTCAACACGAACGTTAAGATACTATGTTGCAAATTATTAGTACGCCCAATCATAACATACGGTGTCCCAATATGGTTTAACATCAGCACCATTACAATGGAGAAGATACGGGTATTCGAACGCAAGTGTCTCAGGGCCTGTCTCAACACATATAGGACACCAGAATCAAACTACACAAAAAGAGTCAGGAACTATAAACTACTGTTAGATACCAACCCGCCTATTTCTCACTCCAACACTAGACGATCGCGAGTACGAGACGCATTTGTACCGTCGATAGTTAAATAGATCTCGAAGATTTTGCATAAAACGTGTTGAACTCATTCCACCGACCCGGAATCTAACACAAATTGGTGTCAGAAGTGGGATGATCTGATGTTCATCGATCTTGTGAGACGCCTGGACCAAGAAATATCCAGTATGAGCCGTGGACGACAACCTCAGTTGTACACCAGGTCACCGAAAATACGCAAAATCTAGAAGAAGAAACACAACGTGAGTGTTGTCTAAGATCACTGTTGTAGGTTGGCTAGATCTTCCCATATCTTTTCCTTCTAAAAACTTGATAGTCCCAACCAATTCTCATTTCCTTTAACTATGGCGACTTCACGCAACACAGCCACTAATTCTTCAGACTCTACACCGCAACTTCCATTGGGTTTCTTAACTAGTTTGATAACCGAGCCTTTTGATGGTGATAGATACAAGTTACGGACTTTCATTAAACTCTGTTTGGACGTTTCAATTTTACTAAATAGCAACCAATCAAGTGTAATTTTTATTATTCACCTCTCAGGACTGCCAGCTATTCTGCGGCCCAAGTGACGCTTATACGTGCCAACCTCTCTGCGTTCAAGTGACGCTTATACGAGGCACTTATCCTGCGCCCAAGTGACGCTTATACGTGCCAACCTTTCTGCGTTCAAGTGACGCTTAAGGTAAATAACACTGAGAGAATAATAATAATAAGAATAAAAAAAATATATATATAATAAATCTAAAAATAATCTTTTCAAAACTTAGATGAAAGGTTCGAAGAAGCAGACACATAAAAATCGTCGAGGTGGTCGCAAAACGAGATACTATCGATAAGTTCGCGCATTGAAAAAGGAATTCAGCGTAAAATTTGAACAAAGACTACGCGACATTGGAAGAGGACTGGCCGAAGAGTCTCTAAAGCCAAATCCGATCCCGGACTCTCCCCCGTCGGTGGAGGTATATGACCCAGTATCGGCTAAAGAACGAGCTAACGACGACGATATCGAGATACTGTTCGAAAACGAAAATTTGCACGACCCCGATTGGGATCCCGAGTATTTCAATATAAATTTATTAAACATTTAATAACTTCAATAATTAAGGTTAACTTTGTTTTTGTTTTGTTTTAATAAACCAATGCAATAGAGTCTTGGATGGGTGGTAAAACCATTTATTTCTTGATTCCCTTCAATTTCCCAAACCGCAACCGGTATAAGCAGGCAGGTTCGAACTGCGAGCAATCCATTCATTCATTTATTCAATACCAACGATCGTAACATAATAATATAGAGAAATAAAAACATGCCTTACAACGACAATATGCCATCAAGATCGTCTCCCGGAAATACTAAAATTATTAAGATTGGACCACCTGAACTCGGAAGAAAAGAAGAATATATTACGACTAATTGAACGAAACATTGACAGGTTTCACATTCTAGGAGAAATATTACAAGGAACCAACATATCTCGACACAAAATTCCCACAACAGACGACATCCCAATAAACACACGACAATATAGATTTCTCCCAGTACATAAAGAGGAAATCAACAAACAAGTACAGGAATTGCTAGAAACAAATATAGTAGAATCGTCAATATCGCCATACAACTCTCCGGTGTGGATCGTACCCAAAAAGGCTGACTCTCAAGAAAATAAACGGTGGCGCCTAGTCATCGATTATCGAAATCTCAACGACAAAACAATCAATGATGCATACCTATTACCTAATATAACGAAAATACTCGATCAGCTTGGAAGCGCCAAATACTTTTCCACTTTCGATCTAGCTTCTGGGTTCCATCAAATTAAGATGGCACCAGAGGATGCACACAAAACAGCTTTTTCGACACCATATGGACACTTCCAATTCAAAAGAATGCCATTCGGCTTAAAGAATGCACCAGCCACCTTCCAAAGGCTGATGAATAGCGTTCTATCTGGACTTCAGGGGACAGAATTATTCGTATATCTAGACGATATTGTGTTATACGCCAGTTCGCTACAAGAACATGAAATGAAATTCAACAAGCTGATGAATCGTCTAAGAGAAGCCAACCTATCTCTACAACCAGACAAATGTGAGTTTCTACGACATGAATTTGCCTACTTAGGACACATTATTAGCGAGTCCGGTCTAAAACCAGACCCCAAAAAGATCGAGGC